CCCCCCCCAGCCCTACTTCCTGGCGGCTGGTTCCCCCCCCCCCCGCCTCCTCCTGGCCAGCCCCGCCCCCCTCCCAGCCGGTCCCCCTCCCCATCAAGTGTGTCCGGTATTTTTTCTAAACCTACCTGGTAACCCTATGCACACAAATAGAAATCTGTTAAGGATCCAGCACAGCTCAGACCTGTTTTGCCTCTTTCTAGATTCCTGCCAAACTGGATACACTACAGAGGGACCTTGCCACTCTGGTTCAGTGGTCCCTGTGGGAGGCTTCCAAGCTCTGCATGCGTTTGCCCTTCCCCATGGATCCCTGAGATTCACAGGCTTGGCTAGAGGCGCTGCTGCTCAAATTTGAACACCACCCACCAGAGAGGACCTTCATAGTGTATTTCTCCTCTTTCGACCCTCTGACGGGTCTTCCACAGGAGGCAGGAATCTAGTTTGTGTTAGGAAAGCACAGGTGAATTGGCTGTATTATGTATTTGCATTTGTTGATGGCTTTGAATTTATCCTAAGCACCCGAATCCATGCTCTGGATACTTTTACAAATGGATAATACTAATAAAATCCAGTGTATAAATAGAATCTCATGAACTGCCCAGACAACAGCATCATCAATTTTGTCAACCATGACTCAGAGACAAATGCAGCAGATACTTAGTCTAAGACACAATCTTGTTAGGGCACTGAACTATGACTCAGAAGATGTGGCTCTGTTTCTGGTTCTACCACGTGAATTCTCTGTGCCTCAGTGCCCCGATGTGGGGATAGTAATATTTATGGGACTTATCTATTTTGACTGTCACCCTTCGAAGAGGGACTGTCTCCCTCTGCCTTTGTACTGCTCGGAGCCTCTAAGTGCTGCAGTTATACAATGGAAATAGATTCTTAGTCCAAAGTATGGACACAACTTATTTTTCTGCCCAGAAATTGCAAGAAAGCAAAAAACAAACAAACAACCCAACCTATTACAGGCAGTCCCCGAGTTACACGGATCCGACTTATGTCGGATCCGCACTTACGAACAGGGCTTTCTTGCCCTGGAGCTCGCAGGCAGCGGGACTGCCCAGAGCGCAGCGGTCCCGCCACCTCGACCTCCAGGGCGAGAAAAGCTGCTCCAGGTGCCCCTGGTCTGCTGGGGACCGTCTCCAGCAGACCAGGGACACCTGGAGCAAAGCGG